CCAACTTCTCCAACGAATTAGTCATAAATTTATAACTATCGATAAATCTCGTTTGATTTGAAAGAGTTATATTTTTAGGAGTGAAAGTTACTTCTTTGCATGATCTACACATCCATGTATAGAGTTACTTATTTTCAAATTGATCAATCCTTTCTTTCTTTGGAAGATTCTCTCATCCATTTTTTGTATCAGATGGAGTAGTAGAAAGCCAAAAACTTTCTTTTCCGATAAATCTCATTTTGAAATATTTTTTCTTAACCTTACCATCTTTATCGATATAGGTGTGTGTAAAGAGATGCTTAGTGAAAGATATATATTTTTCTTTCGTTTGTGGGATGACATCAACTTTCTCTTTATTCCTATATAATTCTTCTATGAATAAATGGCAATCATAGCCGCTTAAATTGTGGAGAATAATAAGTACAAAGTTAGGGATTTTGAAATTCAAATTACATTTGGAATGAGCGGCATGTGATCTTTTCTTTCCTGTAACATGACAATGATCTCTAACTTTGACTCCACCATCAATAAATGGTTTATTACATATACCACAAGTTCCGGCTGCAGCAAATTGTTCCTCTTCTTCGAGGGTTTGTGCATCCATTGGTATAGGGTATCTGAGATGATTTTCATATATCTTTTTCAAATCATCTTCAATGCTACCCACAAATTTCCGAGCTGCATCTACACCCCTATATGTAACAAATTTTGACAAATCATCATTATATGAACATTTTATCAGATAAGCAAATGGATATGGAGCATGTTTGAATGTTATAATCATGTATGAACTTTCTGGATTTGGCTCATTCACGTGAATCGGTTCAAGTACTGATTCAAAATCAGCATATACTACAAATGGTACCCTCATTTGTCTCTCGTAATTTTGAAACATTAATTTATTTTCCGCAACCATCCGACCATATTTATTGATCTTAAAATTGGTGGTTGGTGTTGTTGTACTAACGAGATTATTCATCTTATGACGTAAACGCAATCTCTCGCTGGAAAAATATATCAAACATCCATCACAAAAATATTTTTTGTGATCATGAGCTGATACTTGACTAGAAAGTAATCTTGAAAGACCTTTGATCCAACAATAGTGTCTATTGCCGGAGTCATCAGTTATAAGTAACAAATTGACATGTCTCCGGAGTCTCCTCTGTGAGTATCGCAATGGACCAATCACATCATACTTCACTTTAGCCTTATCAAATTTACTCTCCAAACCGTAAACATTAATTGAAATATCATTCCTATCTTCAAATCTTTCAATACTCTTATTATTAACTTTAACCGGAAAATCCATACCTGTGACATATAAAACATTGGAAAAATGTGGATATGACGTAACTTCGGACACTATACCATTTGCAGGATATAATGCTGATGTTATAGCCCAAGCAAAACAGTGTTGATCTCCGTTACGAACATTCACGACAGCTTTCCTCCATTCAATGCATTCAGGCAGCTCCACATATGAACGTCCTCCCAGTGGACTGTATTTATAAATATTGACTTCGAGCAATAGTATTTTTTCACAAGTCCAACCTAAATTACAAAAAAAAATAAATATCACTACTCAATCCCGTTGGAATTTACAAAAAAAATTAATACCTGAGTCACGTTCCTGAAATTCAGTCGTTTGAGCCACAATTACATCACGGAATCCATCAAAAGCAGCATTCAAATCTGAAGATTGATCCACTATTTTATTTCGGGAATTAAATGACTTCGTGTCCCTCGAATCTTGAGTCTGAAGAATATAATTCCCAAAAACTTCCATATTCACCTTGATGCTTTTATGGAGCCTGATGGCCGATTCCAGTAATTCAATGACCTTCTGCCTAATCTCATTGAAAAATGACATGTAGTTACTGGATACATTCGAACTCTCAACCCTGTACGTAGCAATGCGGCAATTGAATGCATTCGTTATAATTTGAACACCTTCAGACAATTGAACACATGCATTATTTTTATGACTCATGGGTTTTCGGTGAGAGTTCACTTGCATCATAGGAATTGTCACATTACAGCAATTGCAAGTATACATTGGTGTTGCATTATCCACTCTCATCCGTTTCACTGAAGGGCCTCCTTGGCAATTCTGGAGCTGATGCCGACGAAGATTATCACTATGAGTGAAAGATTAACCACATTTACAGGAATACATTTTATATAATAGTTCTCACTAACTCACTTGATGTAAATTGACATAACCGACACTCGTTCGCTTCTTAAATACAGTTTGATGGGGCCCGTCAAGACGTCATAGCCAACCCCACCTCTCAACTACATGCGCCAAGCCCACCTCCCAACTGAATGCGATAACAGATGTCGATACGAACAGGCAGTGGTCGTTGCGCTCTCGTAGAAGGTAGACGTTAGGCAGACGGTCCTCGGCTGCCGTGGTGTCACCATCGATAACGGGCTAGAGCGATGCGTTACGTCACAGCCTTCATCGTATCGGGAGAGGTGAGGGCAGACCGATGAATACGCATTACTCTGCCACACATCTCGCTCTCTTACCGTTGGACGGATGCTGCTGTGACGTCACACCACTACTAACTTGGTGGGCTCACACCGATGGAACCTTCATTACTTGGAGGATCTTCGAAGTATGCAGACTTTTGTTTGTACATAGACAAGCACATGATGAAACCCTGTACCGTGCATTCTCTCTCTCACACACACACACACCAATCAAATGTAATTACGACACTTCGTCACACACACACCCAAAAATTTCATATGAAAAAACAATTTTTAAAGGTTCCCTGCACATCGCCTTGATGTTACTAAACAACAACAAAAAAAAAGTAATTAATACGTCATAGTGGTGGGGGGAGGCCCAGACCCGGCTGTAATCTGCTACTGTCAACATTGTTGAAGGGAATATATTATACAATTCTCGGTGGAGAATTCTTTACCCAGCATCCCCATTCGATGAGCTCCGGCATTTGAACCCTAGCTTCAAGAATGTAACACTCTTTTTTCACTAAGATCGAGGCTTGCTACAATGAGTATCGAATGACAGATCTTGACGAGTTGGACATTAGTAGATTTTGAAAAAAAAAATCAAGATGGTCGCAGCTACAAAATGACGAATTACATATTCCTTCACACCTAATTCAATATAGGTAACAAATTGAGAAACAAAATTAGAAACTAAAAAGTTGAAAATGAAAAAGGTAAGAAAAAATATGAATGATGTAGATAATGTACTAAAAACTGAAAAATAATTCAGAACGTTCTAGGTAGCAGTCATCACTCCACTTTCCACAAGAATCTATGTTGTTGATCAAATAAAAAATAATAAAATTGTTTGGCGTAGTATTTACATATTTATTTACACAGGTTACGTTACACCCAAGCTTCCAAATTCAAGCTTCAAGTTCAAGTTCAGCTACCAAGCAGAGCAATGACAAATGGATGTACATTGAACAAGTCATAGAAGATAAAATTATTGTACAAAACAATGTTATCTTCTTAAAATTGCAAACCGTGATATTCAAGACTCCCTATTTTGAATCCTTTCATTACTATACATGAAAAAAAAACTAATGATCAACGGGTGAAAAACATCATGAAAAATCGAATTCTGTCTGTCACTCAGAATAGTTCCGATTTGACAGAGAATGATATTGAAAATTTATTATTCTGGATATTTTGGTATCAAAAAAAAAGCTCAATATAAGCAGTTCCTCGACACACTTACAGTGCCTTCAAATGAAAAAAAATATTTGGAATAAATATTATCTAATCAGAAAATTCAAGCAAAAATATTTTTCAGGGGTCATAACTTCAGTACACTTCAAGTATGATAAATTTTCATGTGAGTGGAAATGTATATTAATGTCCTTTCTTCATACCATGAAACCTGTTTCGACTCCATAAGGAATGTCTGGAGTAAAAACTGATTGGATAGGAAAAAGTGATTCCTGTCTAATACAATGTTTATGAGAAATTAGGTAATTGTTACAAGAAGACTTCTCATTCCAATTTGATTCTGGAAATTTGGCGCATGATCTACAATTATTTGTAAAGATATTATTTTGAAGTCAAATTCTTAACTAATTTCTTCGAAAGTTTTCCGCATATTTCATCAAGACGTTGTAGTGAAAAGACAAACGCTTTCTATCCCATTATTTCACTCATTCAAAAGATTTGTTTTTATTTATTTTGAATTCAATAATCGTTCAGAAATATTATATTCATATATGCAAGTCTAGAATATATCTCTGCCATTCCATTCATTTCATCTATGTTTTTCAATCCAGTCGAGGTATCCTGAAACTTTCGTGAATACTGCGGGATATCCTTTTTCAACACATCCTTTGGAATATGATACAATTCCATATTGAACGCCGTCAATAACAAGAGGTCCTCCTGAATCGCCCTAAAATAAGTACATATATAAAAGTTATTTTTTGAAAATGGTACAAAACATTCCAATGTATTATTGAGAAATATATGGTCAATGTCATATTAGTAGGTGTTGAAAACACTCATTATATGTACTGCACTCTAACTCTCAATATCTATGTTATATGGTGTTCTCACCAAAATGAGAACATTGGAGATAACGACTTCCAAGATTTCGAGTCAGCAGAGTTAGCAGAACTTTTCACATTGGTTGTTTGCTGCTGACACCGTTGCACCGTTTATTATTGTTTCAGCTTTTTAGTTACTGTAATTTCGTTTTTATGATGAGTATTGCATTTTCGTATTGAGAAAATAAGTAGGATTTGTAGGATCTGACAATGTCGCTAGAAAAAAAGTCCTAGCTGAGCAGCGGATACCAATTTTCCAACACAAAATAGTCAATACCTTTCGAGAAGTAATCACTTGAGGAATCATTGGAAGTAACATGTATCAAAACCCCTGTAATCATACAAAATAATTTTTGAAATTATTTTTGATCTCTGTTCGATAATTCAAGGTTTGATATCTCGATTCAATCATCATCAGCTAACAATATGTCTCAAAACCACTCTTGACTACAAGCGCAATCCACTACAACCAAATCATTTGCACTGAACACGCCCTCAACCGGACTCAAAAAAAATGAAAGACAACTCAAAGGACTTGCCATGAGCTTGGTCAGCATTGTATAACAAGTTTTCCAATACATGAAATAAATCCAAACGTCTGTCATATTGATACGGAATATTGTGACTGGACCGTTATAGAGTGCGGACGTAAACAGTATTTTCCCCTCTGTCACTGTCGAACAAAGCAAGATATCAGAGTTGGACATTTTTCTGAAAGACAATCCATTTTGAGTACTTTCTGACTGAAAAGTAGATAGTGTGATATTACATGCCGCTGAAATTTTCATTTTTTTAACGAGTGATAAATGTACATTCATAGTGAATGAGATATGAATGTACATTCATAGTTACATTATTACAATTATTTCGCCATCAATGTTGGAGGAAGACGGTTTTATTCCGTTTTGTTGAGAATTTGAAACAAATGTTTCCAATACTATTTATGAGTACATTTGATGTGTTTCTCATGGATGTCATAGAATTATGTACATAACTTTCAGCCATGGTCTTTTTCAGCCACCATGATGTTCAATGCCATTAAGTCCATCAACTAGGATGATTGCAGATGATCTTCTTAAGTACTGTCCAGTATATGTTTCTGGATTTTCCAAATGTAAAAATTTGACAATAATTTTTGGTAGGTCACCCAACTTATTGAGTCCAACAACCTGACGAGTGCATTTTCTATTTCCCAATATTGAAGAAATTGCCAGAAACAACAAATGCCCCTTCGGTTTCAGTTTATGTGCCCGGTACTTTGATGTATACTTCTTGGCTTATATCATTAATATGATATACTTGCATATCTCTCAGTTATTTTTTTCGGCATGCTACAGAAATAGCAACATTCATGGCAACCTAAAAATGAATTTTAATTATTATATCATTTCGTTTTATTACTACCATCCGAGAAATATTACTAATGTATCATTCAGGTGAAAAATCTTTCAGCAGTGGGATTTGACTTCGGGTTATAGAAAAAATATATGCATTTTATACACGCGTTACCTCTGGCGATTACCGATTGTTGTATGATATGATATGAGTGATATGAGTACTAAACATAATTGATATTCACTTTGTGAGTAAATAAATAAATGTGAACAGTTTTAAATAACATAATACTGACAAATACAAATGCGAAAACGTATTTTTTTGGTCTGTAAAATATTTTCAAATCCTTTTGCTTGGCTGTTATAGTTCATAGAATTTACGGAAGTAGGCTTTGCTTTAAAAGCGTCTGGCAAATGAAATATGATTGGCTGTTGGCTGGTTTATTTGTTATTTATTTGTTTGTTGGTGAGCGTCGACGATTTTTTCAGTTTATAATTATCAGGTTTGCGTTTCCGAGATGCACGTATTTTGGAATATTTGCTGATGCCAAGATGTTTCTTGATATTCAGTGTACTACTCAGCATTGATTGCCCACAATGACGATGATTTCAAAGTTTTTGCTGAATCTTCGAAATAAACGAGAACGTTTTCGGAAAACGAAGTTATGCTTTTTTATCTCTCTCCAACTCATAAAATTTTCGAAATTATATTTGTATTTTTCTCTTGATTTTGCTGGCAGTAAATTATTCATCGCAATATTTGCTTGCTCGGTAATATCTGGTGGAGTAGCACAAATTTCTTAATTGTTATCACTCATTTTGAATTTTTACGTGATATTGAAGAACAGCTCATAATCAAAACAAATGGTTGTTGATACACGGATATAGCTACATTCATTACACTGGAAATATTATTTTTACTTCGACTTCACAGTGAATTGGTTAACCTGTGATTACCCAGTCGGGAATTGTTTCAATCCAGTTTGATCGCAAAGTTTCTAATTATTGACATATTTGCTAGTCGTCAATTCATTCACCAATAACTTCGCAACCAGTTATCCAAATTCCAATGAAAGTCGTTGTATAGAGAATTGAAATACATTCATTCAAAAAAAGAGTTGATAGCGGCCTCTTCGCTGCAAGTGATAACACACCGTTGGATTTTTTATGTGAAAATAGCTCAAGTGATTCCTTTTCATATAAATTTTGTCAAACATTCATGTCCTGCCCCATTCAGTATGTGTCTGCACAAATGAAATCTTATTTTTTGTATTTCAATCATAGATGATCTAACTTGCTTATATCTTTAATAATATTTTCACTGGATACTAACATGGCACGGCCCCTTTCCACCTTCTGGAACTCCAGCACATAGTTCAGTCTTAGGATTAAGTCCACCTCCATCGACATTTCGGTAACTGTCCACGCACTCTTCATCAGTGGAAATGGTGAGGTTCACCGCACGCAGAATTTGTGATTTAGGAGATATCTGCGAAAAAAGTTATTTAGTAATATTTATGATGGTACTCATTAATTATTTCAGAGAAGTGAATATTAAATGATTTTTGCATATTGAGAAACTTCTAGAAATTCAGTTAGTTTTAAATTTGAAATCACTTGATGTTTACAAGTGAGAATAAAGCTTCGACCGATACTTAATAAAAATTCATCATAAACGTATTTGAATGATATTTTATTAGCAGACTTTCACAAAACCATGACAAGTTTATACTGAATATAATTGGTTTTTCATTGGTGTTGAATACTGTACCGAATACACCTGAAAAAAAGTATAATAAAAAAACGTGTTGCCGACAGAAAAACCTCCGAAGTGTTCACAGAACGGTTGAAAAATGAAAAAAAAAAACTAAAACCACTTCAACCCACCGTTTCCAGAGTGATCAGGTGAAAAGTTAAATACTTCATATGAAATAGGAGTCTTTGCTCGATTGCTAGTATTTTTATTTCAAGAATACAAGAAAAATAGAACAATTAAACAAAAAATAAAACATCACAGATTCCAAGCCAAGTCATTTCACGACGTTTCGATTGTTAGTATCCACAATCGTTGTCAGGTGATGACTGGAATAATTCCTCCAAAACATGACTATTTATGGGTCATTCGAGTACTCTCAGTTATCTCCTTTTTCCTCTATCTTCTTTCCGCTTCACCGGTTTAGCAGGGGATAACCGTTTGGCGGTAGTTGGCCATTTTTCCCTTGATTATGGGATTACAAATGTTGCATATCTAACTTAGTTAAATACATTGTTGAATAACATTTATGCGGCTTCTTGAATTGTCCTATCAAATTAGTGTTCCTCCCTGATGAGTATGATCTAACTTTGGGACCACTCGATTTTATGTTGATGTGTCGAAATATGCTCTGCTATTCCTGATTTGATAGTTTCCCCTCGCTGTGTGTGTTTCTTGTGCTCTGCAATGCGAACTTTCGAAGACCTCCTAGTTTCACTGATAGGGAATTTTTCGCACACACGGGGTATCCTCTGAAAATCTTATATCGGTGAAACTAGGAAGCCTTTGAAAGTTCGCTTTGCCAAGCACAAGAAACACACACACACAGCTAGGGGAAATCATCAAATCGGAAATAGCATGTTTGGACCCATCAACATAACATCGAGGGGTCCCAAATTGAGATCATACACAGGGAGTAACACTAGTTTAGGAGGAAATAAAAAGAAGCCGTATACATGTTGCCAAGCTAGCATAGAGATACGCAGCACAGTCATCTTCAGCGAAACTGGTGAAACGGAAAGAGAGGATAAGGGAAAGTACTCGAATGACCTATAACGTAACAATCGAAAAAGAAACTTGGCTTGGAATCCTCTTCTATCGCATGCGATAGAACCCTCTATACCACCGTGTTTGTAATGAAATAATGAAATACATTTTTCAAATTAACTTTATTTACCTGTTCACACCTGCCTACCCAAGTGACGTGACGGGAAAAAATTATTCAATCTATCATTTGCATATTCTAGAGGCTTCATAGTTTCGATTGGTATGGAATGTTAATAGTGAAATGTTAAAAAATGAAATTGTTAATTAATCATATTCTGGACTGAAATTTTCCAGTCAACCAACTTGCAATTTATTTGTTGACATATTTAATTGATATATTCAATATAAAATCTTCTCATCCGTTAACCAGCTCCGTGAAGGTCGTTCTATACTGGGGTCCTATTCTATCACAGGTGGATTGGCAATAATGTGCCGTACCGTTGGCCAACACGTATATTCTGTAATATGAAAATTTTGCAAGGGTCGAATAAGCATCCCACATGAAACATTAGCTTGGTGTGTGTCATATTTTGAATGCCGGCGCAACGACCAAAACCGTATTCACAACATTACTGGGTGATACTGGTGATAATTTTTAGAATGTTTGTTGTGATTTTTTACCCCATACAGTTATTGTAATTTACTGTCTTCTACCGCTTACATATAAGGGGAGTTCGTTAGTGGAGTTGTAGTCCCACTACCTCTTACTCAGGAGTGTCCTACTCAGTACAGAGTGAGTTTTGAATATAACTCGAACAATAGTGCCACTTATGAAGTCTGGTGGTGGATCATGATTGCAACGCTTTTGATCTTTGGTATTTGTAAGAATTCGATTTGTTTCTGATTTTTTCTAAATAAAAACGCCAAGGTTTGGAGAATTGTTGACTTCAATTTCATCAAGGTGTTCCTCACAATTTTCGTATACAAAGATATTGAATGAAATTCAGAAGTGACTTGTAGAGTAGTATATTGTACATATTTAATCGAGTGTTGGATCTCCACTTGAGATGTCAGAAACTTCGAGAGAATTTCCTGGCACATGAAGGGTGAAGTGAAGAGAATAGCTAATCTCTGTATCCAAGGTGACATTTTATCTACATGGTTTTTCAATAAACCCATTATTGGTCTGTGATTCATCTCAAAGGCGAAACATCTACCGGAAAAGTGAACATTGGCTCGCTCATAACCAAAAACAAAGCTGAATAGCTTTTTTTCAATATGATTGTACCTTTCTTGAGCGACAGTTGAAGAAATAGACGTGAATTCTATTTATTATTTTTCCTGGCCTATCATATCACCTATGGAGTGAGAGAGTGAGATGCTTTGCAGGATCTGAATGAGATAATGAATTGATGGATGTAACCGTTACTATATGGTAGAAAATCATAATGATTTCTTACCATTTTTTTCTCCCTTAAATAAAATAAAGTGACAGACGATGATATTGAACTTTTCATGCTATCAACCCATATGGACTTGCATCGACTGAGAGATTGACAGGCTTTTCTGTTTAAAAATCTGTTTTAAATCTGTTTCTGTTTAAAATCTGTTTTTCCGTTAATCAGCTTTCGTCCCCATACGAACGACAACTCTCAAAAGTTGAGAACTTGTGCGAGCTAAGGACTAACGAGGTCTTACCTTTTAACGTGTCATTCCTAACACGATTGCAGAATCATTCCAGCTTCAACCAGATAAATTCTCTCGAGAAAAATATCTGGTCGAAGCGGGAATCGAACCCACGATCTTCCGACCGTGAGTCGGGCGCACTACCACCGCGGCCAATTCCACAAGGATCTGAATAAGGATCTAAAATAAGGATCTTAATAAGAATCTAAATAAGATGAAATGACCGACGATGATACTGAATGTTTCATTCTATCAAAACGAAGTTGTTTATTTTCAATCCACACCCATTCATATTTTTCACCCAAAAAGATTCACAAAACATGGCTTTCTTGTGATAAGTTCTGTTGAACAAACATATGTTCACTTCATTCGATACATTTTGTTTCAATTGATTGCTTGGAAATGACTGTTGATTGAATGCGTTTTGTTGTTGTTAATATATTGTTACGTTTTTTTCCGTGGGCTGACCAATAATTGACTACACTGAACAACAATCAAACTTAACTTTATTTCACTTTAAATACAACAAACACTTCAACTATCATTTAAATTTCTATCGCCTTACTAGAATCGCTTCGCATATCGCACTGTAACTTCCAGCACTGTGTCGATGTGCTCTTGGCTATCGTTTATGTATCGTTAGGTTAGGTTAGGTCTGAAGTGAGTGGGTGTATTCGACCCTCCACCGCAACTCGTGAGTGTTTATTGTAATCGAATCGAATTGTATCGTAATCGAATGCGGTAGAAAATTTGCCGGATTACATCGAAATCACATCTAGAGTGGAAGCGAACATCATACATTCGCGCGCTCTTAGCTACGTCACAATTGGTTTATAGCTACCAGCTACCAGCTAACGCTACCAGCGTTATTTCCTTTAGGGCATGATTTACAACACTAACCCCTTCCGTGAGGTTGTTCTTCCCAAAAAATATTCCAAGAGGGAACATCACGAACCATGTAAGGACTCAGCCTCTTTATGTGAACAACTTTAGGCTTACTTCTGGCTGACAAATGGATTCTGTACACCGGATAGTTTATCTTTTTGGTTACCAAGTGAGGTCCTTGCCATGGTCTCTAAATGTTGGGACACAAACCTTTTCGACGTTGGGATTGGTGGGGCCGCACTGCATCGCCCTCCTTGGAACTCACTGGCAGTGACTTTTTTACAAATCTTGTTTTCATACTGTCTGTAATTTGATTCTGGCAAATTCGTGTACAATTTCTAGTCTGTCCTTCAGGTCATTCACATATTCTGAAAGAGGTACCTCTTGAGATTCATCGGAATGACTGCCACACACAGTATCTATCGGAAGCTTTAGTTCCCGACCAGTTAACGACATGGATGGTGTGTAACCTGTCGCATCATGTTGGGATATCCTGTATGCCAATAAAAAAAGAGGAACCAATACATCCCACTCCCATTGGTTTTCGGAGAAAACATCGAAAGGTAGTTATTGATGGTGTGATTATGCCTCACGACCATTCTATCGAATTGTGGGTGAAGAGCAGTTGTTCTTGTCTTTTTTATTCCCAACAGAGTTGTCAATTCATAGGGTACTTCTTGTCCGGCAATTATGTTCTGCGATAGGGATTTTATCACCGTTTCAGCTTCTTGGTTGGGTAAGGCTACTACTTCAGAAATGTCGACTGCGATTCTCTCGAAAAGGCATGCACTTCTACCCATTATTTTCCGCAGCGGCCTTAAATTGTCTACGATAAATTGACCATGAAGATTCGCCATGGAAAGTTGAAGTTTTAATAGAACTACTGTTAAAAGGGAAAGATGTCGTTTTCGATTTGCATTTTTCCACAGTAATCCTTTTTGGTTCCGGTAATTCTTTCCGAAGTTCCCGGAAAATCTCTTCAAACTTTTTGTCGACTCCTTCTTTTTCCAATCCTTTCTTTGTTTCCTGAAAATATTCCTGTACCTTTTCTTTACTCACTTGGGAAGATTTTATATCTTCCAATAAATGAACGTACATGACTTTTTTCTACTTTTCTTGAATACTTAGTAGTAATTTACAATCTTCATTTTGGCGTAATTGTTCTTTCTCTTTACTTCGTTCATCTTCCTCTCTTCTGCGTTTTTCATTCTCCGCCAGGCTCGCTTGCAAAGCCTCAAATATTTTCTCAAACTTTTCCATATAGGACGAAACTGCAGTAACGTTAGTTACAATTAAAAGTGGTATAAAACATAGAAATTTTCATTTCTGTTTTCATTCCCTGTTTTCACCATAAAACAGAAACATTTCAATCAATTATTCCACTTCCGACACCAAATGTTATGTTTTTTCCCGTGGGTTGTCCAAGAATTGACTACACTGAACAATAATCAAACTTAACTTCATTTCACTTTGAATACAAAACACTTCAATTGAAACTTCAACTATTTTTTGAATGTCTATCGCCTAACTAGATCGCTTCGCGTACCGTACTGTAACTTCCACTTGACTGTGTTGATATGCTCGTGGCTAGCAATTCGTAATAGAATGCGGTAGAAAATTAGCCGGAATTCCATGGAAATCGGTAGCATTATTCTCGCTACATCTAAAGCGGCAGCGAATATCGTACATTCGCACGCTCTTAGCTATGTCACAATTGGTTCATGGCTACCATTGGCGGCTGGCGTTATTTTATTTAGGGCATGGTTTATAAGAATATCAAATATATCGTTTCGATATTGGTGATTGGAACCTGGTTTAGTAGAGTTTACAGTTCGAATAATTACCAGTTACAATAAATTATGTAAGAATTTTCCTAAATATTGAAAATATCGTACATCAGTGTCATTGTAATCGAAAGATAGAAGATTTCAATTCAGCAACGACGATGACGGAGATGAAAAACTTCAATATCCAAACATTCGAAGGCCGAAACTTCCAGTTATTCAATGAAAATCATATTTGAAGCTGAAGGTCTGTCAGGTCTATTCATCGAAAAATCCCAACGCCCTGACGAAAATTTGGACCCCAAAGTTATATAAGAAGGCAAGAAATGAATGCTCGAGCGATGCTTCTGAGCAAGTGCAAACCATAAATATGACATGCGGAACAGCACTCGCAATATGGTCAAGAATAAAATCAGTCTCTGAACAACGATTAGCAATCAATGAAGTAGCACTCAAGTAGAAGTTTTTCAACTATCAAATGACCAGTACTGATAGTATTTCCCAACATATCAGTAGAATTGAGTCAATGTCACAAGCTCTTCGTGACGTTGGAAAAGAAGTTGAAGATATTGGTAGAACCACTAAAGTTACCGGTAGCTCACCTTCTGAATATGGACCATTTATCGCATCTTAGGATTCATTCGTGGAAAACAAGCAGACTTTCGCAAACCACGCCGCAAGATTACTGAAGAATCACATCTGCCCAAAGTGATGAAATGTCTTCTGCCTTTGTTGCCGTCAACATAAATGAATCTGGTTCTAGTTCTTGAATAAGAATTGATTCTGAAGAATAGCCCCAGTTCAGAAAGAAATCAATACAATTTTGTTGCCTTTGTCATATGAAAACAGAATGTCGGGAAAGGTTGTCAAAAATAAGTAGAACGGAGAAAAATAAACAATAGCAGAAATTTCAAGCGTTCAGTCGAGAAGGAAGGAATATGTGCTAGAGGTATATGGAGATGTTTGGCTTGAAAGCTTATGTTCTTATATTGAAACTATTTGTTTTGAAATATTTTATTAGATTTTTTTCAAATATCAAGTTTTCATTGCTACTTCTACGCACAAATTGAGTTCCAAAAGAGAATTCAATAACAGTGTAGAATAGAATATTGAAATTGATCAAAACTTGATTTTTTTCTTCAAAAATATAGGTTGGCGGAAAATTATTCCCAATAAATTTTATAATTGAAATGATTCAATATACTTCATTATTGTTGTTTTAAGATTATCAATTACTTAATGTCTGTGTACTTCAAACTGTGTACTGAAAACAGATTCAGAACTAATAATGAAATACTCACATCGTCTTCGCCCCAACCTGCTAATGAAGCTGTTTTGTTGGCTGGTGTGCTCTCGTGTGATTTGGGTAGCTTCAAGGGCTGAGCAGTGTCTCCGAATGAAATTGGTTCAGTGAGCTGTAAATACACAGATATTACCTAATTTTGTTAATATTTATTATGCAATTATCATACATTCCAAATCCTAGGTTGTTAAACAATATATCATTTTACAAGTTACTCTTCAATCGAACAAACTGAAATTTTGTGAACGTTATTAGCATATTGATCAAACGGTTCAAGCATAGATACTCAAGTTGCAAAGGGTAATTCGTATATATCAAGTAAACAGAATGAAAGTAAACCTGGCTAACATGTTTCATTCAGGTCAAAATATGTGATAACAGAGAAAATTTGAATATCTCCATTATTTTATATAGTTATAGCCCAGTGTAGCCCAAACTTTCCTAAACCAATCGAATACTATTGTTAGTTTGACAACTTCTTGAAGAACGACTACTGATATTAATCAAATGGTACAATATTTCTTACCTTGATTATTGCTATGTCGTATGTCCAGGGTGGTTGGTAGAGGAAGTTTGCATGATATGTCACTCTGGTGACCTGCATTTTATTACCTGAGCTAACATTTGTGTTTCCATATGAGATAAAATAATCCTCAGGTAATTGCCTATAATTCAAAATGTTCTATTTATTTTCATCGGTCTCTCAACTAAAATGACAATCAATGTTGATGAATGTATGCTCATGATATGATATATGCTAGTGATATATGCAACTTTTTTGGTTTGTTGGCCGTTGTCTGACGTTTGATCTTCAACTACGGTAGAAATTATCAAAGGCGATAAAGCATTATCTACTATCATAACAACTAGATCACTTCTTCCATTGCCCTATCACTATTGATAATGCCCACCACAGCTATAGACGGAATTCAGTCATAAAAACTAACAGACCACGACAAATATACTTTGAAATGGTTTGACATAAGTACCTACAGCGGTGAAACTTTACCTACACTCTTTGTGTATAGTCTATCCATTCCCAATTGGAACGGCAATAAAAATAAGAGTACAGTCATAAACATTTCTTGCCTGTGGCCCCTAGTCGCCCAGATAGTTAGTAAACGTGCTATCAAATGTAGTTGAGGAATAAAGGCTCGGCTAGCTGGACTGGCTGAATACTAATTTTTCGTCCGTTTCATAATATTTCTTTCTCAGTGCCGTGTGTTCGTAGGGTTAGGTGAGGTGGTTAGTGGTTTTGCAAACCGATTTTTAAAAACTTTTTCTAGAGATCAATTACCCTAACACCAAACTGATATTTTTGCACTTGACGCGCGTTTCGCTAACAAAGTTGGCATCTTCAGGAGAAGAAAATTGATACTGAATCTGAAGACAAGGGTTAGCTGTTTATATACCTAAAGTTTTTTGGTCCGATGTGGACTTTGTTTGTTAAATGATGATTATCCTAATTGATTTTTTGGTAATTAACTAGTGGAACCACTACCTGCAAATTAATTTGTCAACAATAGATTAAAAAGCGGACAAATTAAATTGCAGGTAGTGGTTCCACTAGGTAATCACCGAAAAATCAATTAGGATAATCATCATTTAACAAACAAAGTCCACATCGTACCAAAAAACTTTAGGTATATAAACAGCTAACCCTTGTCTTTAGATTCAGTATCGATTTGCTTCTCCTGAAGATACTAACCCTGTTAACGAAACGCGCGTCGAGTGCCAAAATATCAGTTTGGTGTTAGGGTAATTGATCTCTGAAGAAAGTTTTCAACTTTTACACCAAAGGTTTCAATCTCATCGTTTAAACCGATTTTTGTGAAAATCTTAGTGTTTTTGGGTACTTTCATCAATATGGCTTTCTGGAGACCTTTTGAAACAAATGATAACATTACGTGTGAGGAATCTGTGTCGATCGACAGGGATCCGGAATTTGAAAATAAGGACTTACATGTTCAAGTTCAGCGAATAATTTTAAATATTAATGAATGCTTGAAGAAGAAAAACTGTCACACTTCACAGAATGTTATTGTGAATAGAATATCCGAGTTAACGAAACTATTTCGTTCGACAGTTCTCCGAGTCAGTAAAATAGGGGATGTCATTGACCATGCAATGAAACGAAAACAAAGGAATACAAAATTCGCGAACGTTCATGGTGCTACAAAAGATGTGATTCGGCGAACAATTCATGGTATATACCAAAAAAATGAAGTACCAACCTTGNGATAACTTTTTCATGAGGTGATCAATTGCTATGATTGTAAGAATAAGTAACTGAAAAACTACCACTGAAAAATAATATGCCGACGTCTATGTCGAGGCGGTGATTCCTTCTCTGTGCTGTTCCAATTGGTATTGGAAATACTATACATGAAATTATCTATATTCAAATTTCAGTCATCAATAGGAGATGACTGAAATATTTTACTGGCGAGAAGTATATCTAGTTCTTGTGTATCAAAAAAGTACTTACAGTACAAACTGTCAGATTTTTATCTAAGGAAAATTCAATTTTGAACTGGTTATTATTTCAGTTCTCATTAATAATCGTGAAGTATAGATTCAGGAGACAATTATATTTTTGGCAAATGAAGTCGTCTGCACTTGGTGAATAAAGTTATATTCGAGAGCAGCTTGTCACAAATGTGGCGTTCAATATGAAGGGAAAGTTTTGGTATATCAGGTTGTCTTCATATCGTATCATATTCAAGGCATAGTATTTGGCTTCTCACTTATTGATTAGAATGAATTTTGGTGGATTTTTTCAAATCGTCCAGAGACTCATGTTAATATGATTTGTTTCCTCACCTTATTTTAATACCCCAGAATTGAAATCAAAATCAAAATTAGTTTTTCTGTCAATCAGCTGTCACCCCCTCACAAAAAATGTTTCGCTCACAGCATTATCACAGGGTTCGAATCAATATATATTGCCTCTGATAAAAGGCAACTAGAAGGAGGACTCAGTTCAGTGCCGATGGATGAATAGAACTTGAAATCAATTAGGTGCTCAATTATGTTTCCATGTAAGTCACAGAATACATGTGTGACACTGCCCCATACTAATGGCTGAGTGACAAACCTCTACCTTGACATCCTTCAGTCTTGATTTGACTCGACACGCCTGAAAGAGGCTACGATAGTTCTTGAAATATAATTGGCAGATTTTTCATTTTTATGATATAATGAACCTGGGTCTATAGAGGAGAGATTGAAAGATTGAGAAAGATCTAGGTTCGAGTTAATTTATATCAGAAACTCATAAATCACAAAATTCCACGGGGATTCATATTATGAATGAGGAGAGTTGAGTATACTACCGTTTCATTGGCCAAATTTTGTACCATGGTCTCCACTTGAATTTCCAGAGGATTATGTATATAAAGAACGAGGATACAGAGACAACTCGTTGTACATAAAGTGAATGGGCATACTTGAAGACTGGCTATAAATAACAATTTGTTCAGGTCAGACTTTATGTTGATGACTGACACTACCTTGCACTGACGAGTGGCCAAACAGTTGTATCACCAACAGCATATGCAGGAATAACTTCAGCGAATAATCCTTCACTGACACCTGTCGGATGTAATCCAATGCCCATTATGGCTCTAGCCAGAGGAGTATTTGTTTCTAAATAAGTGTCGGTCCATCAACCTACAGTGTAGGGAAGTTGAGACTGCCTGAACGTATTGTTCTTGTAGATACTTTGATTTATAGTCAGTCTTCAAGTATGCCCACTTACTTCATCTTCAGTTTTGTTTCCTTATACAAGGAGTTTGGGCAAATTTGGATATGCGGTTAGTTACCTCGTACACAGACAGATGAGGCAATGACAAACATGTTTGTCTTTCGCTTCAGTCTAGTTAGAGTAATGATATTGTGAAGGAATTCGATATTCAGTATGGGAAATCATAGCTAACTTGAGTTCCAAACTGCTCAAAACTGGTCTACAAGTGTGTTTCAATGATTGAAATTTACTGCGGCGTCGCCACTTCCAAAAAGTCCTAGTAACTTAGAACACCCCGACGTCTGCTAAATATGGTCCAAAACATAGCCCTAATTGAACTTAAGTACATCAGTATTTTTAATTCATGAAAAGTAAATATTTTGATGAAAGTTTGTGTTTTGACCCACGAATATTTTATCGTGAATGTGAATGCTGAATGCACACAAGAATTACAATAACTCTTGTGAAAAGATAGAATAAGTAAATATTGAAAAATTAAGATTTACTTAAAAAACATAATGATTTCGATAGTAAGTTTTTGAGATCGAACAGTTCGGACAAACTGAATATATTCGTTTTGACATATTTTTATGCATATCCAGAAGCTTCCATTCGCAGTGCAGAAAAATATTTGGGTGTATCACATGCTTCAGTACAACAATTTTGAAAAATTACGGAATGCACCCGTTTAAATTCACCAAAGTACAAGCTCTCAAAGCAGAAGACTGAACGTAGAATGCATTTTTGCAAATCATTTTTAATCATTTACAGGAAGATCTGGAATTTCTGTCAAAAATAATTTGAAGCGACGTATAGAAATTTACGAGGAAAAGCATTTTTAATAAAAGGAATAAACATTTTTGAGCTGATCGTAATCCTCTGTATTTTGAAGAACAATAAAATTAGCTTATTTATTTATGAAGACTCACTGAATGCAGAGACATATCTTCAAATATTAGGGACGATTGATATAGATTTTTTCGAAAATTTGCGTTTAGAGGAATATAGGAATTTGTGGTTTCAACTGGACGGATCGCCAGCTCATTCCACCCAGAAAGTTCACTGGAAACTTCACGAAATGTTTGACGATTGTTGGTTCAGGCATTTAGAGCCTTTTAATTGGCCACCGAGATCCACCGATCCCACGACACTTGACTTTTTTATGGGGTGTTTTGAGAGAAAGGGTGTAGAGTACTTTAGTACCTACCAAAGAAGAACTGCGACGGCGAATAGTGCGGCGTATTGAAGATCTGGAACCCCAGATGTTTAGAATCTAATGTACCACATTTGCAACTTTTATTGTGAAAATATGATATTTTTTTAAATTTTGTTTTCTCAATCATCCTAGTTCTGTAGTTCTGTATTTTCACATGTGCCCAGAAAATCTTACTTTCAACCTAGAAATGCCTGATTTTGGAACATAAGTTCTCTGGAAACTTTGAGGATATTATTTTGTAACTTCACAAACTTCCTCTCATTCATTGGTGTCAATTCAGAATACATTTGGTTAAATTTTCTGCAAGTTCTGGATCACTTTGTCATGTGCAATAAATAATTTCATAAGAACTTCGTTTGAATAATCGATATTTGCATTCATGGTGGGTCGGTAGCCAAGCGGTTCGGCGTGGGTGCTTTGTTCACTCACTCGAATCGACTGCCGTGTTGGTCGGTGGTTCAAGCCCTAGTCTGAACGATCGATCTTCACTTGCTATCGTCCANAGCAGTGAGGATGACAGTGTTCCATGTAAGTGGAATTTCACTTCTTTCATTGATTATATCGTGTTGGAATCCTGTGAATGATATCTGATCCATGTTTGGAACACAAAAGGAATAGAGGAAAGTATTTTTCGTATAATTCATCTTTCATATAAAAGTATTTGTTCTAAAAGTAATTTTCTTTCCTGTAATTCAATATTTGTATGTGAATAGCTGTTTCGACAGAGCTTTTTTTCCAGTTAGTGTCTGAAAGTAACCTACTTCTTTGCATCATTACATCTTTGTATAGAGTTAAATTTTTAAAATTTATTCCTTCCTTTTTTTCTTTGAAAGGTTCCCCACATTTTTTGTATCAAGATATAAAAGTGGAAGACCAATTACTTTCCTAAAAATTAATCTCTCCTAAAAATATACCATTTCAATTTTTCTATCATTGTGCCACATGAATTGAGTACAGATGGATATTCCAACAGATTTGTATATTACTTACGATCTAAAAACACAATGTGCTGCAGTAAGAATGGTGTATTCATCCAAAATAGACCCGTCACACCAAAAGTAACCAAAATAATACAAGCTCACCTGGAAGAGATGTAGAATATATTAGTCTCAACCAGTCTAGGTCATCATCAAAATAAGTGAATATTGAAACGGAAATGAAATCTGTTACTTATTGATAATTCAATTGATTCACGATATTTCATCGTGAACTTTTTGATTCATTACCACTACTGTAATTGAGGTAGAATAAAATCTTACGTGGTAAACTCGAAGTCACGATTATGCAGGAGATGAAATCATTGTGATATGTTCCTTCATATCCTGGGATTTGTGTGACTTACAGATTTTATGAATGACGAGGATCCAAAACAAGCATCTTTTCAAATCATCAGAAATGCAATACTCTCCTCGACGCACGTTTCACCAACTGAGTTGATGTCTTCAGGAGACATACCGGGTCCACGAATGAAACTTTTTACATTACATCAACATTAATACTGTCAGTGTGAAATTTCACGTTACAAAGTTAAACCAGAGTTGCGCGATGTTATTTGAAAAAAATATATCTCAAGCGAATTGTGGAAATGCAGCAATCATCAAATACCTGCATTTGAAACAATTGAAAGGTGAGCATTTCAGTACTCTTGGCTGTCAACGTCCTTCATATGCGACCATGAAATATCCGATTGCAAACTTCAATGCTCTGTGGAAATTGATGTAGTTTTATAGTTTACATCGATTCGAAATGGAAAAAAGTATCCTCGAAATGGATTTTCAAATGTCTCAAAATTGGCCAGAAGCGTCAAAAATAATCGAATCGCTTTGAAAAAATCAGAACTGAGCCGTGTTGTGATGGTGAATGAAAATTGGGTACATTTCTACCACTTAGAAGTAAAACAGAAATTGATGTAATGAATAAATGAGAACATTCTGTTTCTCCAAAGCCTGAGAAATTCCATCCGTTCCAATTTTCGGATTTTTCAGATGCGTGTTCTTTTTTGGGAGGGAGTCATGTTGATATAAATACGCATTCATCACCCAAACGAAACCCGATAATTTTACATTCTTATCTTTTATTTTTCATGATTTTATGTGAGATCAATGGACAAGTTCAATAGGTTATCATCAAAATTAATTTATTCATTCATTCATTTTTATTTATTAGTTTCATTCAAGGGGTAGTCCCAATTACAATTTGTTATAGAAAAAAGTGTGTGAAATATTAAACTGAATTAAAGATGATTAATACATAATACAATACAAAACACAATATAATAACAAAGTATTAAAACCACAGTACAATTCTGTTATAAAAAAAGTTTGTGGAATCTTGAACGAAACTAAAGATATTATAATCAAGATATATTATTCATACAGAATTTTTCAGGAAATAATGCGACTTAGTTCAATTTTGATGGCATTACTGGATCTGTTAAAGATATCGACCTGTTGATACGTATTCCCATTTCTGAGCATTCGAGTGACAGGAGAGAAAAAACCATAGTTTGTGGAGCGGAAAGGCATTTCAAATGTTTTGGTACTGACTCTGGTCTGTCTGTTGACATTCAAATTAATTAAAGATAAAATCTCCTCACAGTTGATGTTGTCAGTTGAAATTTTGTACATCTGAAATAATTCTTCTAGTATTCATTTGATCTCTAATGTTGTTGCATGCATATTGTTATGTTTTTCCCCGTGGGTTGATCAATAATTGACTACAGTAATTGATTGAACTTAAATTTATTACACTTCAATACAACAAACACTTCAACAATAAAACTTCAACGATTATTTGAATGTCTATTGCCTTACTTGATCACTTCGCATATCGCACTGTATCTGTGTACTTGCTTAAATCGTACCTCTTTTCACATTTTATTTTTTAACACCTTATAGGGAACCTGTGCAAAAATACCGTAACCCTAAGGTAAATCTAAATTTTAGTATCTGATATGGTGATATTAGACTAAGGTGAATCACTTTTTGTAAAGCGATGCAATCGGTACGATTTGAAAAACCAGTTGTCCAAATCGTACCTCCAACTTTCTAAATCGTACCACCTTGGATAAAGTTGAAAATGAAGTGAATGAAACAATGAAATGGCAAGAATGGTTGAAGAAACTTTTATTCAATGCAGTATTTTCTTATACTTCTTAGATACAAAGTGTTTCTCTTGGTCTGTGTATTATCAAGAACTAGATACAATTTGAGCAAACAAATTTCTTGATTTTTGCCTTTGAGCCGACACAACTTTCGTGAACCCATTTATCACAAAGCATGCACTGCACCATTCCCTCGATTGAATTTTCCTCACAAACCGAGCAAAACCAATCTTCAAGTTCGATTTCAATGATGATGTCACTCTGGGTAGAAGTTCCAGCTTGGTTTAAGATTACTAGATTTGGATCTGTTCTTTAAACGACAGCCTTCTTTTGTTTTTTTTTATCGGTGTCTCGGTCACTTTCATCTCTTCAGATAAAGGCCGTATTTTCATCTGGAGCTCTTTGACCTTCTCTTTAGCCAATTTCAGCTCGTAACATACTTTAATTTCATTTTTGTAGGGGCTACTGCACTTTTGAATTAGATCTGAGTTTAGATCCATTTCTCTTTTTGGGTGGTTTTGGAAGTGTAAACATTTCTTCGATCTTTCACATATAGTCAGTGGGCATACTTGAAGACTGGCTATAAATCAAATTATCTAAGAACAATTCGTTCAGGCCAGTCTCAACTCCCTACACAGTAGGTTAATGGACTGACACCTATCAGAAAACAACTACTCCCCTGGCTAATACCNTATCAATAAAGTGACGAAGCCACTTCACGAACAGATCTGAACTTATCCATCCTCTCTCTGACACATCAACTAAACTTCCAGGTGGAGCTCCAACCATCAATTGATTACACCCACTCATTCTTTTCAAAATAATCAGGGGTGGAATATACATGCCTGCTGCACTTGAACAGCACACAACAGTTGTATTGACATCTCTTTCTACCCTAGATATCGATCCTACAGCACGTTTCCCCTTCTCAGCTATCACCTTCTGATATTTGTTTTATACGGTGCTTACGCCTGTCTCGTCAATGTTAAAAATAGTAGTTGCATTTATTTTATTTTCATCAATAGTATTTTTCAAAATGTCAAAGAATTCTTTGACATTGTCTTTAGAAAATACTTGTGCCCTTGCCAAGGATGTAGCCTGAGGCTCACGAAGGGAGATGTCCTTGTGATGTTTCATGAAGTTGTGATACCATTTTTTACCAGCGATCTGTTTCTTCTCATTAAATGCGTGAGGGATACCATTTCTAACAACAATTTGAAATGCGAGTCTACGCACGTCCGTTATTGTGAGGCCAAAGAAACACTCTTCTAGTTTTTCTAGATGGTCTACAAGCTGTTGCTCTACATCGGGTGGTAATATAGGGTGACGTCCCATAGCTTTGGTACCTACAGTAGCCTTTATATTTTTACTGTCTAAAATGATGCTTAAGTGTCTGTTTTGGAATTTCGTACTGTCTACAGCACTGATTAAAATGTCCGTTCCTATAAGCAGCTAGAGCTCTTTTCATATCATCTTCATTCCACGTTCCATACTTTCGTTTTGCCATTCTGAAACACAAAAACTGTGTTACAATCAAGTACGCTACTTTATTTTTTTTTAAAACAAAGTAATCCCAGCAATATATCAGTAGTCACACACAAAAAATGACGAATATCTATCATGGTATTTAATGGGCTCCAAAATCGTATTGGTACAATTTGAAACACCATTAGAGGTACGATTAAGGCAAATGGGACTCTCCGAAAACATTACCTTATTTCTAATGTCAAACACTCGTGGAAGCATAAAACGGCTGATTAAAACACTCAATATTAGTGTTAGTTTCACAAATTATTAATGAATAAAATCAGTACGTACCTTGGCAGTCACTACGTTCTTACGAAAAAGTTTCCAAAACACTATCAACTAGCTCCAAAACAGGAAATCTTTCACGACAACTTAAAGAGTAATCGTACATGCCTCAAACTTAAGCGGTACTTGCTGGTAGCACCGCACGAATGCTGTAGTCACTCTATTACCTACCCATCAGATGACCTTTACAAGCTTGGCAATATATTAGATGTATAACAAATATTTCATTCAACACTTGCTGTTGACCAGAAAAAAAATCGGAGCAGAATATTTCTAGATTATTCCTACTCCACAAGGTCAAAAAAATTTAACATTTTAGTTCCACATGTGACTAAAACTATATCCCAGAAATCTAGCATCTTTCTTGGGCCAAAGATATACAACGATCTACCAAATGAACTGAAAGAACTAAACACATTATCTCTGTTCAAGAAGCAGCTGAAATTATGGCTGACTTCAAAATCAAGAATTCCAACACATCGATTGGTCGATATAAAAAATACATACTATGATTGATATCAAGTTAAGGCTATTCAAAATAATTTCTTTCACAAACTCGTTCTGTCAAATTTTTCTGTGGAAATCTGAGGCATGCCATTATCATATCAACACAAGTTATACTTTCCTGATTTTGATGATCGCGCTTGCCCTATATTTCATGATTGATTTATGACGTAAAACGATTCTCTTGTACTAAATTATCCTTATTTCACAACAAATTGAAAAAAAATTATATTGTTTACACTTTCCTTAAGCCATTTTTGTTCCAACTTTCGTCTACTGCTCTTTTTATAATTAAGCTATATCCGAAACTCTCTTGTTTTCTTTTCCATTAATTTGACTGTATTACATTTGATTCGTCAACATAGTGGTTCCACTTATGTTTCGCTTGCGTTTACGCAGCTATTTTTATCTAGTACTTTCTTGGTTTTTCTCATTTTGTCTTCAATCGAGGACCGCCTGCCCGGTACTGACGATGCCCAATAGGCTGAAACAGCTGTATACCGGTGGCTCTTAAATTGTCATGTAAAAATATCAAAATTGAGGTAGACAAATGACAGTTGACAGGTTGACAGTACTACATATGTAGTACCAATCAACAACAACATTCAAGTTCAAGTGACATTTGACATCAACAAATATAACGATCTGTGACCCGGCCATAGCAGTGTTGTATAGCAGTGCTTTTTGGTAATATTTTTAATGTGTTTTTGAACTGTTTCTTTTTAATTCCAAGGTGTTTTCAGGTTTTCACTTTTCGGTAAGTTTTTTTTCCATTTATTATGGATAAGTTGAAAGAAATTTAAAAAATCTGACGATATAGTCGATTGGTTGCGGACAAATAATTTTAAGTCTTCATCTTATGATAATAAGTTTTACTATATTAAAACTCTGGGAAGGCCTCAACCAAATTTGATTTCAATTAAATCGTCAGATAATCGACAAAATCTAGGATTTAATAATAGTTGGTGCGATAAATGCGATTGGTTAACCGGTTCCATTAAACGAGAAAAACTTTTTTGTTGGCCCTGTTTTTTAATTTCCATACAAACCGAATACCAAACGTGGTCTGAAATAGGATACTCCGATTTGAAAAATTTACCTCGTGTTATGGGGCAAATATGATTCACAATTTGGCACTTTTTCAAATGGTAGCGTTCTTTCGGGCACCTTTAAAACCATCCAAAATGAGCTTATTATAGACAGTGTGGCATATATTAATAATAAAAATATAAGCAAGGAGATTGAAAGTGTTTCTTTTTTTGCATGGGAAATTGATGAAACTACCGATATTACCTGTACATCACAACTTTCAATCGTTTTTAGATATGTCAGAGATGGTAATGTGGTAGAACGTTTTATGGGTTTTCATGATGTTTAATCTGCGCGCACAGCTGACGATTTGTTTAAATTTTTAATTCGTACATGTGACACCTATGATTTCAGGCAAAAGTTAATTGCGCAAACCTATGATGGGGCTGCGGTCATGGCCGGGCATTTAAATGGTCTACAAACTAAAATAAAGTCCATAGTTCCTTATGCACTTTTTACGCATTGTCATGCTCATGCCCTAACTTTAGTATTAGGCAAAGCGTGCAACAACATAAACATTTTCGCGCCTCCGGCGGGCTTTTCTGTGTTTATATAGTCTATATGACGTAAGCCTCCCCTGTTCTCCAATGCACGAGCCGTCGCTGTAAATGCTCATTGTTCAAAACCACAATCATTCAAAGGGTGCTTCGACCAACTAGGTTATCATTATAAGCTATCTTTTTAAACATATACCTCGTTAATGATGAAAATAATTCAAACTACATTTAGAGAGACGAAAAAGTTGATCAAAATAAAATTAGGTACTCACTATGTATGGATGGTCTTTGATATCTGCCGGTTCGCCTCCCATGATTTTAAGATTGGAAGCAGCTGGAAAAAAACAATTATAGTGCAACACCTTGATTCACACAGGTGGTGTGTTTGAAATGAAAAATTGAAAAAGGTTCTTACTGTTAGCTGAAACAAATGAAATCAAGAGAATACAACCTATTTCGAAGTACATTTTGATGAAAATGATTTGTGATTGATTGGGTTGCTATTCCCAGAATAGTAGAGTCATTTTTATCTCGAATTCGAAATTTATACACAATCATATCATATAGAAATGATAGGATTCACCACTTCAGCAATACTAGTTGATTTGACAAATAACCTCTCGATGAAAGATCAGCCAGATTCATGTAACCAGGTACATGATACCGGAATGATTTTGAAGTAGATTTCCGGATATCTTGAATTCTATTCCAGACGGATGAATCCAAGCAAGAACATTGAGTCTGTTCAACAGAACATTTCTAAGTTCATTTCATGAACCATAGAATCCAAAACAGAATTTAACAATCAAAAACCAATGGTGGCTCCCAACAACTCAATGTTTGGAATTGTTATTTGTATTAGCTTGAACCATTTGTAAATTAACACCGTGTGATGATTCAGTTCTGAGAAAAATAACAGAGGCATATGCCTCTTTACTTGATCCCAAAATAAATGCTAGCTTTTCTTGTATATTCTTTAATATTTTCAGGAACCACTGCATCCTATCGAATGTTTGAATAGCAGATTTTTTGTTGCAAATACGAGAAAATATTCGCACTAGACAAATGAATCCAATGGGATCAAAAATATTGTGAGCAGTTGATAAAATAACTCTTTTAGTGATTATCTTTACATCATTCATTCCAAATGTGTGTCACTCATCCTATTCCATATCAATCCTAAGTAGGAGCCGGTTCTAAGCCTCCCCCCACCACTATGACGTATTNGCAGATCAAATTTGCCAATTGACATAACTTGAGTAGAATCTGAAATGAATTGATTTAATTCTTCCACACTGCTCATACTTGATACGCAGTTATCAACATGAAAACTGCTTTTTAGTTTGGAGATATCGGATATCGGAAAATTTTCAATCCGATGTTTGAGGAATGATTCGAGATGAAAATGAATAACTGCAGCAAGCATGAACGGACTACAAGATGATACAAAGACTACCCTGGCATGTCGATATTTCTGAAAATTACCCTCTTCATCGTACCATACAGACTTCAAAAAATTTCTGTTCTCGTTTTTTAGACTAATTTGTGAAAAATCCTTCCGGATATCAACAATTATCCCAATATTTTCAAGTCTGAAACCAATCAATATAGAAGAAATAAATTCAATCAGATCAACTCTTTTTTCGAAACAGTGAATTAAAGAAGGATTTTTTTGGCAGAGCCATCAAAAACAGAACATAATTTTGTTGACGAACTGTTCAATTCATTACATGATGATGTGGCGAAAAATAACTACCAGAATCATATTATACAATAGGAACCTTCTCTATAATCTTTTCTTGTAGCCATTCTTTAAACACCGCATTATAATCGTTATAACATCCATCGTTTTTCAATTTTTTCATGAGATTATCTAGACGTCGTTTTGCAGAGTGAAAATTATTTGGTGGTGATGGATGCCCATCCATCCACATTAACTCAACTTCATAACGACCCTCATCATTTATAGAAATAGTTTTGGAAAATGTTCTCAATATATCGGTCTCATATTTTTTATTTCTTTGCCTTTCATTAGGATCTGCAATCCCTAAAACATCTACACTTCACAAACTAGATATATCGTTCGAACATAATGAAGAAGTAGCTATCAACGATGAAGATTCAGGAATATCAGACAATTTACTAGATATTTTATCCATCAGGGTCCAACCAAGTTTCATTGCCATTGCAACTAAATCTCTCCTTAAGATATGTTGGTTTCCAGTTGATAGTTTCCCTGTAATATCTGCGCCTATCAAAATTTCAATTGGACCATCTTCAGTATTAGATATAGAAATTCCGAACTCAGTGAGTTCTAACATCCAAAGATCTTTCCAAATCGACATAATTTGACTACAGATAACAGTTTGATTAAGAGCTTCAAACTGACGTACATATTTCACAGTGACATCTTGTAGCGTGACCTTATAGCGATGTAATGTATGTAGAAATAAATATTTTGAGAACAGTCTGACAACATTGCAAAAGCAGTATAGTTTACAGTCTCGATGTGAACACATACTATATTAACCTGTGACAATAAATAGCCTTATAGAAAAGTATCAGCCTCTTGATTTCATAAGAAACAATTTCTTATCAAACAAAGAACATTACATGGTGGCAGCGGAAAAGTGCTATAAGGTTATGCAAGAACACTACTTGGAAAAGTGCTAGAAGGTTATCGAAATTCGTGCGAAACCAGTCGAGGAAAAAGTTCGAACGTTGAGAAAAAACAGCTAAGTTGAAAACATCGAGAATGTCACTGGCAGTTTTTGTTAATTTTTTTTCGTCGAAAAATGGTGTTTACGAAAGTTGTATGAATATTCGAACAATTTTCTTGGAAGAATATAAATGCTGTCAGTGAATGTTGATGCAAATAAAACCTTTAATAAATTTGCGGGTTTGTGCGTAGAGGAAAATAAAAATCTGTGGTTGGGATACGAAATTATTAGCACCCGTACTAATATCTGTGGCTGGAAATACCTATTCACTATAGGTTGAACGTGAAATTATTGAGACTATTTGGTGTTTAACTTTTTCATAGAATCTTGACTAGATTGACGCGTCGATATTCGTTTTTTCATCAACAATACAGATTTAGGGAATAATAAAATTGTAAATAATAGACTTACTTTCCAATAACCCATATAGAAATAATATAAGATGATGTGCGTCCATCAAAATCACACAACTTCTATAGTTTCTTGAGAATATTAACTTGGTGATGACAGTTTTCTTGTCATCTAAACAGATTTCAAAAAAGAAATTGTTGAAACAATCAGACTCATTTTTGAGATTCCTTGTATTCATGAAAATTACACAACTCTTATAGAACCTTGGGTAGATC